CACGACGCTGGGCTTCACAGGGTGGAAGTGGGACTTCTCCAACATGCCATCCTTGTTCTGGCTGCTTCGGGTTCACCTACAACTGAAAATTTCCAGGTCTGGCTACATAAAGCTTGTTCAAATCGTAGATATGGGTGTGGAGAGAAAGAACCAAGAACCTAAACAACTGCTATAGATTCTAGGAAAACTATAGCTTTCTTTAAGGCACAGTTCAGACAACCCCTACATCAGTTTCCTCCCTACTGCCAATCTGTGTTTAAAAACAAGCCAACTACAAAAAAAAAAAAAAAAAAGGATAATTTTGCTGCTTGGCCAAAAGCAGTCAGGTGTCAGCTGTGTTCTGATGCATGTGGAAGACCTGGCAGAAGTGCCGTGGAAGCTGGAAGTGAAGTTAAAACATGCAACAGAAGACAACTTTGAGCCCAGCACAGAAGTGCATGGAGAAGTCTGTTGACGCACAAATACTATGCTGAGAGATTCACAGCTCTGTGCCTTCACCCCAGATGCAGCTCTAGAGCTAAACGGAGGGTTTCAAAGCCCACTCTGACATTTAAAAAGGAAAGTCTGGTAAGCCTTCCAGTGGGCAGTCAGGGAACAGGATTTCTTCGGATTAACCAACATGGTCAAAGTCAAGGTCTCTTCACTGAAGCCCTGTTTTGTTTTTGGTTTTTTAACTCAGTCAGATATTCCCATGAGTTCCTCCAAAGACCTCCAGCATCCCAACCTTCCTGTGTCCTCCCTCCCACATCCACTTTCCTCCTTGAAGATCTGGGTAATAGTGTTGAGTACCAAGAGTCACGGTCTCAGAAGTACCATGAGGCATAGACACATTCACAAATCAACCCCGGGATGCTGGCTCAGGATCGCTCACTGACCTGGAGAGGGGAAATCCTCATCACAGCAGCTTCTAGAGGTACAAGAAATCCCTGGCATTGAGCACATCAAACCTGTGCCAGGATCTCTATTCATCACCTGCGCTGGCCTTTGTCCAACAGGATGCTATCACACAGGAATTGCTAGTGGCCAAGTGCAGAAGTGTTGGAGACCCCACCACGAATACCTCCTTGCGTTCCAAAGCTAGCATTCCCCCATGAGCTAACACCCTCCGCTGGGTGATGCAGGCCTTTGACAAGGCCAAGGAGAGCCAGCTGCCAGGAACGATGCAGGACCACTTCAGCGTACTGCTGCCCAGCTCTGCCACCAAGATATTTCTGCTCCTTCCCACGCTGCCAGGGAAGCACAAGCCTGCAGAGTTCTGGCACACACAGAGCTCCACAAACCTCACTGAATGTTCGAAGAGGAGCAAGGAAAGCTGCCAGCCCCTTGGCCTCACGCATGCAGTAGGTCAGGACAAAAGGGCATTAGGCCTTGGCTCCAGGAGTCACCATGGGTACTCCGGCCGCAGGCGCTACCTGGGCCATGTTCTTATATACACTTAAAGCCTCATCCTGCGCCTTCTGCATACCACCTCCTGGCTTGATCACCAGCTCTGGAGAAGACCAGGATAGAAGTTGTGGAGCTTCCCCAGTCTCATCAGTCCCTGAAGAATCCAAGCTGGGCTCAGCCCCCCCCACACCCCTCAAGAGTGCAGAGTTAGGGGTAGTGCGCTTGGATGAAAGACAGCACATCCTCCTTCGATAGCTTCTCTGGATCTTGCCTTTTCTGAGAGTCGTGCACTTTGACGCCTTCCCCCCACTCCCAGAAGAGGCGGCTGTAATGGCAGACACTGTGGGCAGGGAGGAAAGCGTGATTAGTTTGGCAGCAGAGGGAAGGAAAACATCATTCTAGCCATAAAGCGCACTACAGAGACAGCTGCCCTTGCAACGGGAGGCACACAGATAATTCTGTTTAAGGGGCGCCTTAGAAAAACACCAGGGCATTCATTCACCTTACAAACTCTACATCCCTTAAGGTACAGCAACTTCCAAGCTTAAGAGATTTCCATGGAAACAAACTTGTTAATTCTAGCTTCAGTCAAGATTCAGTTCAGTGTTTGCTGGAAAGAGACAGGTCATTAGGGAAAACCTACCTCCTCCCCAAGTTTTTGAGAGGATGAAAATGTCATTGCAGGCAATGGAAAGGCCTTAATGAAGAATTTAGAAAGTCAGCCAGCAGCAGCAAGCAGCAATCTAATCACTCACCACAAACCTACCAGAATTAGTAATGGCTGTCCTACAGGAGCTTTGCAAATGAACAGCACTTCATGCTGCAGAAAAGCAGATAGGATCATCCCCCCTTTCCCCTCATGTGAAATAACCAAGCTGCACTTGGCTGTGGAGAGTTGTGGTCCTACAACGCCATCTCTCACTCCATCCATCAAGCACAGCCCTCCCTGGCTGCATCAACAGAGTCCCAGCCATGATGAAACCAGAGCTGCTAATTACTGCAGCCTTTAGTTTTGTACAATTACTGACACTTAATATTCATAGCTTATTTAGCGCTGCTGTTCTAACAAAGCAGTACCAGCACAGCGACAAGAGCAAAAGTCAATGACTAATTATTATCACATTAGTACTCGCTAACCACAAGACAACACATCCCTTCTAGAGCCCCACAAAGCCTTCCTCCGCCTCCTCAACCTGGTCT